TTTGCAAATGAGTGTATTTCTCGAAAACAGTGCAATTTAGATTCAAGTAGAACATAAGGTCGACGGAAACTCGGGGACTGCGCCTACCTGATGAGCCCCAAGATGGACCAAACNGGTTGTGTGCTGTTCGAAGGGTTTCAGCAACTTTGTGAGTAGTTTCCTTTATGGAAAAAACTGGCTACCGTTTGCTGTTCTTTACCATAATGGTCGGATTGAAAACTCCATTGATATGAGTTCAACCTGACGACAATTCAAATGCAGAGTAGGTTGATGAATAGGTGAAAGCATTCTCGAAACATTCTGGAAAATTGAGTGCTATCACCACAAGCAATTTACTTCTCATCAGTCTGAAACGTTCCTCAGGATAATTTAAGGCTTCGGTCGTTTTTGATTTTTAAAAACTAAACAACAGAAGAAAAAAGCAATTTACTTGTAGGAGGCATTCTTGCCAAGGGCACACTTTCGAAACAATCTATAAAGATTGAACTGGTTATGTTGGAGAGTGAGGGCCTGCTGAGTCATGAGAAGCGTGAGACCTGCGTGTGTTGCCAGGTCGCTGTGTTTAGGGTCTGGTTCCGGGATATTATTAAAAATTCACATATGCATATATATATATATATATATATATAGCGGGCTGGTATACATTCACGCAAAATTCACATATGCATATATATATATATATATATATATAGCGGGCTGGAATACATTCACGCATTGGCTTGTCACATAGGATGGGGACGCTTGTATCAGAAGTGATGCAGTCACCCAAAATATACTCAGATGTGCAAAAAGAATCTGAGGCATACATGATCCACTCTGGTCTAACAACAGTTACCTTTTGGTTCCATGATACCCAATGGAATCGCAATGACTGAGGTACTATCAAGTTGCCTAGGCTTAGACAGGCGCAATCAAGATGCCGGAATTGGGTTTGAACCCCTTTCCGGTCGGTAAGTTCGTATCTTAACCAACGAGGTTTCCCTAGCTTCTCTCAGTTGTACAATGCTTGAAGGTCGTAGACACAAGCGAGTGAAAAGTGTCTTTAGCATGCACAACCGGAAGTAACTGAGGGATTTCCCATGTACACACTTTGCAACATATAATCACGGAAGTAAACACAGTGATGCCTGAGAGTGGTTCCACGTACTACTAGCACTCTGGGGAAATAGGATACTCTAGTCAGCTGATGTCATGCATATGGACTATCAGAGAAAGAAGAAATATAATTCAGTCGTTGCTAGATCACGTGTTTGTTGGTAAGTGCACACTTTCGAAGGAACCTTTGAGAGACAAATCGAATTTGTTGTATAAGAAAAGTGAATCACCTCTGGTTTACTCAACTGATTCCATCTAAATCCATTCAGAATGGTTTTATTGAATGTTTTGAGAAGAAATTATTTTTGGAAGGTTTGATCTCTCTGAAATATTCCCGAATTGGTTGACTTTATGGCCAAGTAGGTATTACCTTCTAAACGTAAAAGCTGGTGTCTTTAAGCTATTTAGAAGTTTTCCAACTAGATTCTTACTAAACCGCTTCAAGGCGCCTTTATGGCATGAGGCGTGGGTTTCAGGTTGACATAATTTTTTTACTCAACACACTGTTCAACATAAAAACTTGGTAGCACAAAGTCTCTCGTTATCGACTTTCACAATGTTCAGTAATGTGGCGTAGCAGATTGTGCACCGTGGATATGTTATTGAACTAACGCCTAACAGAAGGATGTTGGCACAAATTCACCTTAGATGCAAGCCTAGAAACACGATGCAAAAGGGTTGAACTTGTAGCGGTCACTTCTTCTTACTACGACCCACTTCGCTTAATTTGTCCAGTGCATCCGTGCTCACTGGATCACGTGACTCCTTTGCCCACCAAACACAAAACACGTGACAAATCCCTGTCCCGTTCGCAACATAGACCGACAAGTCGGTTCCCGTCTTGTATGCGTCAGAACGACTCTATGTGTTACACATACGTCGAACTTTCTTATGTGTAGGAAGACAGAACACAGTCACCACGCGCATACTCGCGCGCGCACAGGGGGCAGGCAGTCAACCAGACCTTTCAAGTTCACGTACAACTACGGAACACATGTAGCAGCTATGCAGCGGATAAAACAAGTTCCCGCCGTCCGGACTCTCACCCAGGAACTCTCACGAGTTATCCACAAACGATAAGTCACCCTATGGTTTAGTTCATGGTTCGTGGTGCATTTATTTTATCAGGGTGCAGCTAGTAACTGTAAACTACTATCTAATAGAGTAATAACTGTTATTAGTGCATATACTTTCTGAGTTATATTGTGGCCATCAACTGTGCACCAATTATTGGTGAGCCTGACGTGACTCGAGCACACAACCTTTTCAAGGGTGACTGTTTTTCAAAATATCTTTTAGTTGTCACAGTCATACCGGACTTTCTTTATTCTAGTTCTGAAACAATCGCACTGAAGCCAAATTTCACGAAAGAATACAAGAATCAAAACGGTACTTGACCGTGAATTCAGAAAAGAGGTGTAGTTTGGAACCCAATTTATCACTATGTTTCCCTAGCATTTAAGTGTATTCTCCTAAAATTGTAAAGACCAAGCGACCAATCAGTTCACCCTGTGCGTCATAGTTCACGTTGTATGAAGACCGATTCTCGCGCGCATACGTTGTGGTTGAGTTGCTTATCACTCTGACCAAGCGACCAATCAGCTCGCCCTATGCGTCATAGTTCAAGTTTTACGAAGACCGATTCTCGCGCGCATACGTTGTGTCTGGTCAGAATGATACAAGGAAGTCCGGAATACTGATTCGTTTTTCCCAATGAGTAGACTGAACGTAACTGGTTGCAGTTCCCTTAACTCAAACCATTCACAAACTGTTCTCTGAGCGTGATGCCTCGTCTGTATGTCTGCAGATTTTTCTGGCTAAAGTTGGATACTTGAATTTTTGTCTGTTTAATGTAGCTAGCTTTGATTGTACATATTAAACTTCATTCCAGTCGTCTGCGCAGTCTTCGTGTCGCACTGGGCAGCTTCGCTGATGCACACTTTAGATCCTAACTAGGCCCGAGTGACAGGCTACGGAAGGCCCCAAATGTGTTCATCGATGATCGGTTGATTCAAGCATAATTGTACCCTGTTCGTTCACAGAGGCAGGTACTCGCACTACTAGCCTCGCTTGGCCTTGGTCCCATTGGCATGAAAAATTGCGCATACCTTAAGATGGTTCACTTACCCACACCTCACACAGCCTACTGATCCGTAGGCTATAATGGCTCTGCGAATGTGTCTGTCCGACATGAATTTATTATAGCCTGCACAAGACCAGAGCCTGGAAGCCCTCACACGTCTTAGTGATTCCGAGCATGTGCTGACCTACCATAAGAAAGTGTGCAGAATGATCTTTGGTTTTTTTCATCCAAACTCTGAGCGATCAGTGGAGTATCTGTGAGGAACGGCTTCCGGGTATGTCTTGGAAGAGAACGGGAGAACGGATTCCCCCGCTTCAATGCCTATGAAATGCAGGTTAGCTGTTCTCCTTCCTCCTCGAGCCTTGTAGCGCTATGGCTGTCAACTACGGTACCAGCCTAAGACCGACCAAGGCCTAATGACGAGACAAGACCGTAATTACAGACATACAGCTTCCTCTGGAACTCCGCAGTTAAACCACTATTTCTGCGTTACCCGACCAAGAAACCCACATATGACACTGCTATCGACAGTATGCTCGTTGTTCTAAACTTTCATGGTAATTCCATTACACAATATGTGAGCAACTACTCATGGTCTTGTAGCGTGGTTTTATAGAGTTGACCGTGTACATTAACTGCCTCGAAACGACTCTCGAAATTCTACTTAGGCCAGTGAAAGAGGCCAACAGAATTAGTCGGATCTTGTTCAGGTTGTCCATTTTCTTATCCTCACAAGTGAGTTGAAGTCAGAGTGGCTATTTATAATGAAGCCGAGTTCAAAATGCCTTCTCAACAACTTTTCCTCTTTAACAACCAAACTATGGGTTGACGCATACATCAGCGTTTGAACCTTTCACGTGCAGTATCGACTTTCACTTGGGTCATCTCCGCCACCCAACGTGAACAGTACCGTACTGGATTGCTTGTTGAACCTTCTAACCTGATTTGCTGAAGCTGGCTGCCTTCACTCGAATGTCTTTCTAGCAAGTAGCTCGTCACACTTTCCATCACTGACAGGAACATAGCGGGATAACATAACCGTAGCAGCTGATCGATGGTTTTCTTCTCATAGCAAGTTAAAGATACTTCCAGTTAAGTTACACATTGGTCGTAACCGTAGCAGCTGATCGATGGTTTTCTCATAGCAAGTTAGAGATACTTCCAGTTAAGTTACACATTGGTCTGGACAATCGAGGTGTGAAAACAGTAGAGTCTGTTGTTGTATCTGCAGCTCACCACACGCATTGTTTTTTAAAAGTATCGCTGCGAAGGCAGACACAACCATTAGCTTTCGCCTATCCTTTCAAAATACCAACTAGCCAGTGGTTTTTAAACTTCTGAATGGCATCCTTCGCATGGCTTATAGTCTCATTCATACACAACCAGTCGACAAACTATCGGTTATCAGATAAGCCGAACAACCACCCGCTAAGTGTATGCACCCTTACACACCATCGATTCACAAATACATGATGTAATGAGTCATGTACTCGAGCGACCAAAATTGTTAATGAACCCGATATGAAAATTTATTATCAAAACGGGTCACTTGTCTAACATAGCAATCACATACAAGTGCATGTGCTCACGTGCAACTTCACTCTTTTGTCTGGTTGCCAACACCCTAAAAAATTGCAGTGGACGTGATTCGATTACACTGATTGCTGGCTGTACACAGTGTTTGTGGACGATCGGGGTCAGTCCGCTGGATTCAGCCAATGATGGAGCAATCTGCAGCTTTGGAAAGCGATATAAAACAAGCCACACAAGTAAACTTGGCCGACTTTTGTAAAGCCTTTGTTTCTTCGTCATCCCCAAAGTCATGTCTAGCGAAGACAAAGCGGAATCCGCTGTTGAAAATCTTGGGGTATCAACCGAGAAGGTAAGTGATTCATTCGGTACCTCGTAACATACAGGTTGAGGAACAGGTTGCAACCCTGGTTGAGGTAGAGGAACCTAAGAAGTTGGAAGCAACTGCACCAGAACTCACTGATATCAAGCCGGAAGTGCTAGAAAAGAAAGTTGCAGAGAAATTGGAGCACAAGAAAGAGGTCACAGAACAGTCAGTGGAAACCGAAGGCAAAGAAACGAAGCATTATGCGAGCACCGTGAAGGAAAAAGTCAGCGGATTCTTTGGGATCAAATCTAAAGAAACGGAGTCCGAAAAGCCAGCAACGGAAGAAGGAGAACAGAAGAAAGAAGCCACAGAAGACACAGAAACCAAAGAACCAAAGAATCCTATGGCTTCCGTTAAGGACAAAGTCAGTGAATTCTTGGGTATAAAAGCACACGCATCGGAAAGCACGAAGCCCGAAGCAGATAAAGCTGAAATCTTAAAAAAGGAAGAAGCCGAAGGTAAGGAAAAGGTGAAACCCGTCCAGGAACTGACGGAAGCAACTGCGGTTGATGTACGGGAAACAGAAGAAGGGGCAGCGGACGAAGTAAGTGATGACCCAGTATTAAAAGTTCATGATGATTATTTACAACATGTTTTTTAAAACTTCTGTGTTTTTTGTGTTTCCAGGTCCATACATCAGAAGGTGAAAAAGGTGAAAAGGTAAGTAGATCTTTTTTCGGAATATGTGAATGTCTGTATATTGTGAGTGTTGTCTAAAACCGATAGTAAATATCGAATAGTTGAATCAACATCAAACTCTAACCTTTTTTTTAGAAAAAGGGAGGTGTTATGAAATGGCTGAAGAAGAATGTGACAATGCACTTGCCAAAGGTGAGCCATCTTATTTCAAACGTCGCTGATTGAACTTCGAATAAATGCGTTTTAAATACTGCACTGCTATTCACTAGTTATTGATTGAATTTGTACATCTAATCTATATTTCCTAAAAAATTTACAGTCACAAGGATGCAAGAAGGAAAAGTGTACTTCAGACACAGTAAGTTTACGTATGCAATCACGTGGAACTTTCTGTCGAGCAAATGCGTGGTGATATGTACAAAAACACTGTTAATGTACTTTGTTTTCAGGCGGAAGATGTTGAGGTGGAACATGAATCAGTCCAGGAAAAATTGGAAAAACCTCTAACCGAGACCGCTTCAAGTGGAGTCAAGACGGAGTCAGAGGCCAGCAGTCACCCGGAAGTGAAATCCTCCCCACTCGAATCAGGTATCTGATACTCATCTGAGTTATGAGTTTGGTGACCCGACTGGTATTCTAGTGCACTAACCGAAATTCCGTTTCAATTGTTCTAGTTCCACTTAGTTCGGAGAAGCCGGTTCAACTTCCAAACGCTGTAAAAGCGGTAGAATAATCACAAGAACAAGGTTGGCAGGGAAGCTTGACCAAAAAACGGCCACAACCAGTTACATTACCCTACGAACTGTATTTTCTATACATACATCTATATTTCCCATGCGTTTCATCGTTTCCGATGTATATCGGTAGAACTGTCATAGAGAAGTCAACTGAGAGTTCAGGCACTGCACCTGTTTTCGTCATACCATAAGCTGGCACACTTTCTGCACGCATTTCTGTGCTCTGTATTTATTCTTTTGCACAAATACAATTAATTTCCTGGCACTATATCTCCCTACTCTTGTTAGGGTCGAAAAGGTTGGATAGATGTTGATGGAGAAACTGATTTTCGGAGCTATGCAGTGGACGCCTTCAAAGAAGTTTGTTGATTGAATGGGATTTTAGTTGTGGCTTTGGACTCCTTCGGTGAAAACCACCTATATTTAGTCTTAAATATTGCTATCTGGGTAACAATATAAATGTAAGAGATTGCTAAGGGATTGCGAAGCACTAATAAGACCAGTACAAACCCTAGACAATGACAGTCTCCAGGGTATTCAAGCAAGGAAATTTTCAGAAGTCCCACTTTGAAGTCACTACATCTGCCTGTATTCCTGTCTCCAGTTTATTGGAGCTTCTGTTCTTGTGTCGTATTTGAGCATTGCCATTATAGCGTCAATTTTTTGACGGAGATGGCATCCTAAATATACGCTGAACAGTCTAACCACAGAGTATTCCGGAACGACAACCGTGATTTCGTCATTTGGGCAACATATTTTGTAGCGTAGTTATTCGAAGTATCATTCCTCCGATTTCCTGTCAGCAGTACAAAGCAAGTTAATATTTAGGCATCCTGTTGTGAGAAGCTGCAATGATTTCTCTGTATACTGGGTTCAGGTGACTTTCATATATAGCTTTTTCAACTACTAGCAACAGGCTCGAAGCTCTCATGCAATGATGTAAGCCATTTCGACCTAATTCACATGTGCAGAACTTCGGTACATGTGTTGGATACTCCTGATAGTTGGATCCAAATCAGGAGATCACTTCGGCTTCTTGATTATTAGTTTAACTACGATCCCTAGCAATCCCACTTCGTTTCACCGGACGTTACTTTGTCATACCGTTCAAGGAAAGCGGGGTTAAGAAAGTGTCTACCAACGTCTTAGGTTGAGTCACTTTCGCCGCGGGTGATCTCTTACTCATTAAGGCATCACTGTTGATAACCTTGATGTCTATCCCTCATTTCAATACAGATGATCTACGTGCATACGAAGAACACTTAATAGTCCACATGAATATTCTGCTGGAAGCCAACTTAACACCCAGGCGATGGTGCGGTGGACAGTTCCGTCTGAACGAGAGCTTTCGGTCTTCTTCTGAGGCCTTCTGTAAGCTATAATGTGACCACAGCTGTATCCAAATCGACAGATACAGTAGCTAATGGATAGAAATGATTATGGAGTTTTGATCAGTGATCAGTATGGATTCGGCTTGAGTTTCGTGGCGTAAACTGTGCATTACGAAGCCATACATGTTGGCTAGAGACGGTCATCGCTAAGGTATAACTTGTGGAACTAGAATACACATTACCTGTAACTGGAGAGTCCGTTCGTGTCACAGCTGTGTCCAAATTATTCAAAGGCATGTTGGGGCCTGGAAGAAGCAGACCAGCTGAGTAAAGTTCAGGCAGAGGAGCGCCCACGGTAAGGGGTGTATAGATTGAAAGAGTGGGCATGACGGTTGAAGAAGCAATCGTTGGTGTCGTTGCTGACTGTGTGGGTTGTGAGCCCGGTGTGGCCGTAGTGTAGGAAAAAGAAGGCATACTGTTTCGTGCAGTGGAAACGCCGGAATGCTGGGAAGAACGTGTGGCCGGTGGCGTCTGAAAAACAGTCAACGTGGTGTATTCGCGCGGCCTTCCACGTTTCCGCTTTACAGGCAGGCCGGTAAGTCCAAACATTTGCTTCTGACGAGCATATTCACTGGCCACCTGAGTTAAATTGGGTTTAGCATCCTGTTTGAAGATTTTTGTGCGGTCGGATATGGCTCCCTTAGACCCAGCGACCTGAGTTAATTTGGGTGCATCACGAGAACGCGCCGGTGGAGACGAATTCCTTTCGAACGGCAATGAAGCCCCAGTGAACGCAGCAGCTAGGTGACTACCAGATGGATTCATCGGTTGAGAAACAACCATTTTGACACAAGAACGGAAAGCGGACTCAGAGGGAGACACCTGGCCCATTTTCGGGCCATCGCCAGTCTAAACGGATTCTTTACGGCAATTTCCTGTGCCACACGCTTTAAAATGTTGTTCACCAAGACCAACAACATAATTAAATAATTTGCAGTGGCTGAGTTTTCATCCGGTCTATGTGGCCTGCAGACCAGTCTAGCTGTTTTCGACCAAGCGTCAAACACTGGTTTTTTATACTGCATTGGACAAAAACTGATATAGTATATGTAATATCCCATAAAAGGGTTCACAATTCACGAAATGTGACAGTATTGCTTTTGGCCGAAACGTCCCAGAAGAGAGATGTCTGGCTCGCTCAAGCACACAAGTGAAATTATTGTTTTTGTAGAAGTAACTAGTATTATTATCTGTAGCCAATTCATCGTTCGATCAATTTATCTCAGATTCATCACTGGACTCAGTAATCGTGAACCGGATCGTTACAGTGGCTTTCTGTAATAAACTTGGATGCGTGTAGGAAGTGAAAACAAATAGTTGTACAAGAATTTTCGGCAGGGTACAACGTTTCGCCCATGAATGAACATAGTCAAATAAATGCTTCGGAAATTCAACTATTCTTTGATAGGCTGGCCTCCAAATCCCGAAGTGCACAGAAAATGAAAAGCTGGTGATGAGTGACTGTAAATGCCTGTCCTGTAAGGAGATAATAACGCAATACGGAGGTGTGTTAGACGTACGCATAGTCACATGACCCCAAATATCAGGAAATAGAAATAGCATCATGACGGAAATCACGAATGACGGCCTCAACTCCAGGAGGCACGTGTAACTGGTTTCTGTGGGGTTATGGATTGTTGAAAGACACTCAAGACACTCAACTCCGGTAACCTTTGAAAATAACCTTTGAACTATATACAAACCTTGGAAGAGTTTTTTTCATCATCCACGGCAGCTGTCCAAATACACGTTCCACTCATTCTGAACGAAGTATGCAGTGTTCAGATGGCAGATAGATGATAGGTTCATCCATTCACGACGGTCAACAAACTATGTGACGCGAAGCCTCAATGCCGGACTCCAAAGGGGGGAATCATTTCCACTTAGAGAAAGCGGACAACTGAACGAGAAGTAAAACTGAGAGTTTTTAATGGTTTTTGTCCTATACCCTGGTTTGGTACAAATAGCCGGTGAGGAGGACGGAAAAGCCCCTAAGGTCGTATTCAAAGGGGACTTGGCAAGAGTTGCTTCGAACAGGATGGTCAGTGCGTGACAGTTAAACTGTACATCACAGCGGAAAAGCCTGGCAGAAAAATACGACACTGTCCCAGTAAACGTTGCATCCGCAGTATCTCACACTCTTTACTTATCATCGGATTCCTTTCATCGACGCCGTTGATTGACCTGTGCGGGATCCTGAATTGGATCGAAAAAGTGTAGGATACGCAGATTGTTTGCGGTATTCTCAGTGATAAAATAAAACTTCAGGTTCAAGTTAGTTTAAGCCTGTCCCGATCACCGTTGGTGTGGGCTACCTTTACAGTTTAGAGAGAAACAAAGCTTGTGATGCGAAAGGGTGTACAAGCCTTCGAAACATAAGCGGACATACCGCAAATCTATTCGCTGTCTTTCGTTAACGGTGCATACATAGGGCCGATGCGCCTTCAGTGGTCCTAATGGCGGAATTCTTACTGTCTTACCAAAGTACTGTCGTTGTGGTCTGGTTAACTGGAGGTTTGAGTTTTATTCGTACTTAGTCATCATCACCATCATTGTCAGCTGTGATAACGCGTACACGTCGTACGGTGGTTGTAGCTGCTACAGTTTCGTTCACCGATGATTGGGGGGGGGTAGGTAGCTGCGGGAGATGATAAATTGGTGCATAAATCCAGCACTGTCAGTGGGCTGTAAAGTGGGGGGATTGGGAAGAGAGCTATGCATTGAAGGCAATAGCTTGGATGCACGAGCGCCATTAAGGGTGCGAATGGGCCTTACCTGACAATGTCTCTAGCCATTGATGTGGCCCGTCTCGGGGTCCCCATCCAGGAAGACGGCAGTGACCAGCGCAGCTGAGTTTGCTGGTGATGGCTTTCATACTTCGCTGCCAAGTCATTGTTTGACCACCTCTGACTCTCTTCCACCCTCCACGTGTTTCTGCGAAAAGAGCCCTTCGAGGAAGTCGGTCGACTGGCATACGCAGCACGTGACCAAGCCAGCGCAACCTATGCAGTATGATCAGTTCATCTGTCGAGGGTGAGTTATTTCTCCCGAATACCATTCGACGTAATTCAGCATTGCTGATCCGGTGTTCCCACCAGATTCGGGCAATGCTCCGAAGACATCGATGGTCAAACACTTAAAATCATTAGGGTGTGCTTCGAAGGCTGTCACTGTTCAGTTGCGACAAACTACAGAATGCGAACCAATCGAAAAGCACTACTTTCTAAAAATCTAAATGGAAAACACGCCCTTGACAACTCTCATTCTCTTTTTAGGAAAAAAACTCATGTAGTTGATGTAAAAAGTCATCATACTGTGGTAGGTGGCACGTAATCTCATATATTTTTTGAAAAAAATTATCTGAGTTTGAGTGGCCCGAAAATATATCCAGAAAACGAATGGTCTCACATTTGTTTGGCGTAGAATGTCTCAGTGGTGTAATTCACAATGAGAAAAAGGAGGGAGTAATGGCTGCTTGTTCATTGCTACTACTCAGATGGACTTGTACTTAAACCGGAAATGAGCCATCCCATGACGCCTGAAGAGTGTTTTTTATTTTAATCTACTTACGACGTCTTACTCAGAGCCAGTTCTAGGTTAAGTTCCTCTCTAGAAAACTCATCTCTCATTATCTTCTTTGCTTAACATTCTGAAAAATTCTGCCTTCAACAGCAACCAGTCACTGATATTTAAGCAGCAGGCAGTCAATAACGAAAAATGGTTGCGTGTAAGTGCTTCAGGCTTGTTCAGACTAAATTAAAACCATGTCGATGGGACAGAAACTAACGGGCTGTCATGTACTGTAAAAGAATCTACACAATTTGTACGACACGTGACTACATCGTTGACGTGCTGAGGATCCATACCCACACCGCTAGAAGTGATGCTTCGTACCAGATTATGCCCCTGTTTATTGCTTAGTGGGCTGTCAGGCCCTATAATTCTTTCGCCTGTGAGCCGGTGAAAAACCTATCGACTGAATTTTCGCGCCGAATCAGATTTGAGTGGTCTTGGATATTGGACTACTACTTGCGTTGGCTCACTATGACGTTGAGTTTCATTCGTGTTCTCCGTATCGGGGTTCTGATTGCAACCCAGTGAGACTGTCAGTTAGCTCTTATGTCTAGCCAGAGTGACGCACATACACACACAGTATTCGCCCCGAGAGTGAAGAGTGAAGTCATCATACTTTGAAAAGAAAATGAAGGAGGGGTACAGTGCCCACACCATATGTCTCGATAACTGGGTTATTGACTTCACTTCTTCAAGATGGTACACGATATTGCGCGTACCGATGAGTTTTCACCCTTTAAGATACCTTAATTCCATCCCAACGGACCTTCCAAATAGTTACAGGAAGATTTTAAAACTAGTTCCATTATGCTTGGAACTTGATCCCCGGATGTCCTCAGAATAATCCCAGGAGATTTCAGCATACAAAAGTCACAAACTTCACTTAGTTATCGTACAGTTTATTTTTACGTTCATGTAGTGTACATGGATTGTCATTTCTGTACTGGTGATATCCGTTGGTTTGTCTACTGGATTTCGGCTAATGAAGTTTCCTTCCTTTTCACTGTTCCACTGTGCTTCCACAGTTTGCACGCCACAGTGATTACACCAGATTTTGTGTTGTCGCAACTTGGTATGTGGGAAACACTGGGAGAGTACGCGTTCAGATACGGTTGTGGCTTACATTCACACTCCTTGGAAATAACCCTGACTTCTACGTGGTCAGCTGGATATATTGCAATGGATAGTTGCCCGTCTGAATTAACCGTAGGGAATGTTAATGAGAGCAAAACGAGCTAAAAGTCGTTGCCCCGAATTCCAGTTATGTGTCCTGAAAAGCTACTGGAAAAGCTTTGTTCGGAACAGGACATTTGTTAGAACCAGCCCAAACTTGTGTACAATAAGTCAGACGCAAAACCATCAAACTTCCTTGGACATGACGCCGCTGTGGATTAGCGGATCATTTACAAAAAATAGTGGGTGGATGTTAGATGTGAAATTTGAGATCAGCCTTGTCCTGCCCTGAAAACCTACTGTAAAAAGCACGCCCATGTGTTTCCCCAGAGAAGACGTGAAAAGGTGATTCGTCGCCGATAGAATGTTCATCGTGTCTGCAAATGGAAGTGGAGTAAAATGCATTCATTATACGACAAGTGACATTAGCGAGATGCGCAACGTATTGTGAGCTGTTAGTTATTCCAAAAGTTACTTCGTGAGCAGCATTTATTTATGGGTACACCTAATTGAATGATGGTTCAACCGCAAAATCGGACATGAAGATAAACCAGCAGCAACTAATTTGGAGCAGTTCTAGGATTAGCTTATTTGTTCATCTCAAAGCTACGGCATCTTCGGCTAAAATCGGGAATGGAACATGATTGCGTTCCTTTAGACTTCTTACTTGGGCTTCGGTGACGTTGTGCTTACAGCTGTGATTAAACGTCTCTTTTCTACTCTCCTTAATGGAACCATCTTCTGAAGAGCATTTGAATGTGTGAATTATACTCTGATCCAACGCAGTTTATGTTCAAGGGTTATGTCAAGAATTATTTTTACTTCCTCTCACATTGCTCCGCATTGACATAGACGCGTATACGCTCTTCTTTGAAACACACAAACTGTTTCAGATGTGCTGTTGAGCCAATTGTTTAGAAGCGCCAAGTCTTATCTTACCCACTATCTGAGAATTGCTCGGGTACCGCAAGCAGTTCCACTAATAATGATCCAGTAGTCCAATACATTGCCAAATCAGGTGAACGTGCATAGCTGTTTTGAAGTCGGCCGAACAGTCGAGCAGCTCGATGAAAGAGTTAGCACAATTTAGTACAATTTGTTTGACACCCGTGTTACAAGTTAACTAGGGGAACAGTCAGAGTTGTGATCAAATACATATGTAGGGCGTAAAATCTCTGTCAATACTACAGTCACGATATGCACTCCACTCAGTTGGTAAGATCTTGTTAAAATTTTAACATGGGGTCTCGAAATAGATAGACTTCTCTAGTTTTCAGGTTTGTCACGATCACTCTCGTTCAAGGCTGTCCTTAAACACTCATTACTTTGATCAAATCTAAACAATCAAATCGGCTTAACTACCTAATGAGTTTGTCCACGTGCCTGAATGAGATTGTGGAGGATGAAAGCAGATGGGGTTGTTCGTGTTATCAACGTACGGAGGCAGATTTTTCAGCCATAGGACCAAACAGCTGAAAAAGTTCACGATTGGATTCTATGAGGAACTTTGCGCGTGCAAATAAGTATACCACTTCTCAGAACAAGCCCTGTATTGATCAGCCGATCCATCAAGCTCAACCCGGCAACTTGTATGATCTGCGCGACATATAAAAAATAGTAAGGCGGATCGCTTCTACACAGTAGAGGTTCTGTGCAACTGTTAGTGACGAATTTATTTAAATGACGAAGACGGCAAACCTCATACCTGGTTTCACTAGCAACCCGACCTGCACCCCTGCAGGTTCAGTGCGCTTTGATTCATGTCTGATCAACGCATCATTCTAAACGTCGGATTCGAATGCGTTTTCGGATTACATGTTTACTTGACCATTTTAGAGATGTAATGGAGGCTATATATTTTATAGTTTTCGAAGACGAGGACTTATCTGTACAATGTTGCGTGGTTCCATCTCTCCTGCATGTTCGTCTGCATTTATGTTGTCCGTAGGGGATCCTGGATGTGAACCCTGACCATTTCACCTGACCTACACTAAAAAAAACTCAGGCGCTCTCAAAAAGCAATCCTTTGAAACTGACAATAAGACTATGGGGAACGTTTTTACTCAAATTAAGTCAAAAATAAACAGCCTAAATGCCATCCCCATCAGCTTCCTCGTACAGTTCGGTGGTGGATATACATGGAACGCAATAGGAGGTTTTTGGGCCAGAAGGGTGAGGCACATCAAGATCTCCGGTCGGAACAATGCTCGCCACCGCACATCTCAAATATAAAGTCAACGGCGCTATCATAATAAGAAGTCTATTTTGAACTGGAGAAAATCCTCCCGAACAAAGCCAGTGGGCCGGATACGGTGCCTCCGTCCCGCTTTACCACTTGTTTAATCGTGTTTTAATGAAATTATGTTGGCAAGCGGAAAATTGTCAGAATAGCTCCAATAACCAAACGACTGTGATTCTAGTTGTCCACAAAAATGGCGTCCAACTTTATGCACTTCTACATTGTTGAAAGTGCTGGCGCGACTACTGCTTGGCATTTTTTAAGCCACCACTGAGCTTCTCCAGTCATTTGAATCAAATTTTGTACAAGGTAATTTACCAAGAATTTACTACAGATTCAGTGCACACAATTCTGGAGGCTTGTGATGTGTTTCCGGGTCTGTTTTATGGACTTCAATTGAGTTCGTTGGAAACTTCAGACACATACAGTCTCTGGAATGGAAATCAAGAAGCTTCTTCTGTCCCTCTAACACCACTACTTTACTTTACCACGCAGTAGCACGTTAAAATTTGTTGACAGTTTTCGAAGACTACCGCCAAGGAAATTGGTGCATCCCAAGGAGATGTTTCGTCACCGGTTCTATCCACTTTCTAAATGGACTATGAAAGTTGACGGATAGGGAAGCGTGACACAATATGTGACTGATGAAGCCTGTTTTACAACACCGGATGCCTGTTTGTCTGAGCAGGACATTAAAGCTGTATGTCGATGAAAAAGGCATGGCATTGTTGATTAGCCTATCAGAACGCGACGAAAAAGTGTTCATTCTGAGGCTTACTATGGCCCAAACTGCAATCCGCATTTACCCTCCACCTCATGTTACTTGTATAAAGTATCTCAGTTTTGTAATCCCCTCCCTCTTGACATGACATGAACACGCTGGTAAAGCTTTCCTAAAATTCTGAGGACTGATTTATTTCCAACGACACTTTCCTTAATATTGCTAATCTGGTTATCCAAAAATCCAGCGCCTTGCCGGTTGTTTTGTGTCTTTCGCCGGTCTTCTTCAGTGGGCGACAGAAATAACTATTAGTAAGCGGTGCTTTCGGCTTTTGTTAGTATCTTTTAACATCCACCTTGGGTTCCTGAGAGATATATTGATTAGGCGACGTGAGAACACCTGTAAAATTAGTCTTCAAAGTGTCTGTTGGGATTTCTGACAAAATAAATTCAACTATGATCAACCGCTTCCCGAAATGACCGTTCCGCGGCAATGATACGCACGTAAAATCAAGAACACCAGCACATAAAAACTGCGTGGTTCATACCTTGCCCGCCTGATGATTACAAATTTATCCTCCAGAGCTTAATTCTTAATACTGTTACATGATTTGTCTCCCGTCGTACAGCGTTTTTTCTATCGCTGATGATCTTCTGTTCCCCGTTCGCGTTACTAGCTCCTTTTTCAGTTTTCGTATGCCTGCTATGTACGTACCAGTAGGTCTCTGGATCCAGGATAAAACGACTGTCTGAAAGTTTATCATGAAGGGCGATGATATTCCCTGTTTTTGTTCAGTTCAGATCAGTTGTACATGGTAACTAGTTGTGGCGAAACCCGTATGCTGAGATCATTTTTCACAGCAACCTGTTTTATCCCGCATTAGCGAATTCACGCTTTAAAAACTACAAAAGTTTCCTCGTCTATCGTACAAATGGTCAAAATAAGTCTGTTTCACGTCATTGGTTAGTGTTGATGCTCACATCACTCTTGTTTGAACAATCTTCCTGCTGGCCTGGCGAAATTATTCTGGAAGCAAGCACTGGACTCGAGTTTCGCTCTTATCAGAGCGAATCAGAGTTCAGATCATGGGTCGCCCCAGGGTTTGAACTCCGCACGTCTGACAGGAGGTGAGCGTGTTACCAATACTTCACCCGCTCATGCTTGACGCATCCGAATTTTTGCATCTGAACAGGTGAACATGTTCACAGTTGAGTGATGTGATTATTTTGCCCGATGCCTCAAAAGACCTCCCAGCTGAGTCGATCGACTGGCCCGCCTGTCAGGATTTTCCAGTCAGGTAGCGTCACGAACGCTTCGGAACCTGCAGAACGGTGATTTTGCACTGAGATCAAACATCCAGATTAGGGTNTTCTTCTGGAGCACGCACTGGACTCGAGTTTCGCTCTTATCAGAGCGAATCAGAGTTCAGATCATGGGTCGCCCCAGGGTTTGAACTCCGCACGTCTGACAGGAGGTGAGCGTGTTACCAATACTTCACCCGCTCATGCTTGACGCATCCGAATTTTTGCATCTGAACAGGTGAACATGTACACAGTTGAGTGATGTGATTATTTTGCCCGATGCCTCAAAAGACCTCCCAGCTGAGTCGATCGACTGGCCCGCCTGTCAGGATTTTCCAGTCAGGTAGCGTCACGAACGCTTCGGAACCTGCAGAACGGTGATTTTGCACTGAGATCAAACATCCAGATTAGGGTACATTTCAAGCCACGAAGAAGTTCACAGTTACGGCATGCACTACCACCACGTTCAACCCTATAAGGACACCGGTTTCGACCGGTTATATTGGTGCTCAGTGCAAAAGTGCAGATGTAGCCCGCCTCCCTGTGTGGAGTGGGGGTGACAACTTCGTGGGGCACAAAGATTTCACCTTAACTGGAGCGTTTCCTCGAGCACTGAAGAACTATTACAAACTTAATTACACATGTTTCGTGACACCCGAGAGTTTTACACAGCTTTCTTTAGCTTATGGTACGATACTTTACTTTGTCCATGCGCACATCTGTGACTGAACATTGCAACCATTGTATTGACCGTTATGAAATTCCATCTAAGTCACAACAGAAGAGGAATTTTTCGTTCCACCCGTCCAAACTCGGAGAACCTACAAAAGAGACAATCTGACGAATATTCATTCCAGTAAGGTAGCGAAAACAACGGTAGTTATTGAGGGCTCGACAATAATCAAGGGATCAAACGTTGTGTCATCCGCTGCTCCAGTTTCTTTACGGTAATCCAAATTCCAGCACTGGTATGTGGTGTCTTGTAAACAGTCTTGATTACCAGGTCGCTTGAGAAATCAGGGGAAAATTTATAAGCAGTCCTGGTGGCACCAACTATTTGACATGGCAGTCGAATAATGAAATTCGTTCACCACCACTGGGCAATCCCATTGTAGTGCTTTTCTAAGGAATAAATTGAGGTGATTTAGGGATCCCTAACCAATATCCTGTCTGGTCTAAGGAGAAGATCAAAACGGAGAAAGTTACTTGCCATTAAAACTGTAGTTCCCACAGGGGAGTTTCATTTATCGGGCTCCATCACAGGAATGAATGTCCTACAGTCAGATACCACATGCCCAAAAAGACGAGCATTTGTTCGCAGGAAGTTAGCACAAGTGAACCATCTGCTAAGTCAGTTTTACTTGTGTTTTAGGGCTGCGTGCAGTTCCTGCTCCGGGAATAATTTTTGGCTGGTATAAAAATGCATTCCACTAAAGAGGAAACTGTTGTGGGGTATCGCGAAGTTCGACATAGCGGTAAAAGGATTTCAACGTGACCTGGATTTGGCAAACAATATTCTTGAGGTCTAATTTGTTTAACCGGATTAGATGCACCAGAACTAAGTAAATTTGCAAACTGGCGATTGAAGCATCTAGAGTAAGACGTGGTGAACTTTTATTATGCCTGTCAGCTCCTGTCATATAGATTATTAGGAACAGTGGACATATCCCTTGCTCAGAGGCGATAATTCAATTGCTTTTATTGTGGTGCCAGGGGGCTCGCTTGGCGCGTCCGGTATAAACAGTCCCAAACCTGGCACGATGTTTAATGAGCTCTGTAGGGATGGGAGTTGGGTGCATTGATTTCCCACTTCAGCGCGCATAAACAAGAATAACTGCACTGGGACACGAGTAAGACCATTCAAGCGAGGATATCGTGAAAACGAACGCTATACATTACACAACTACGAACAACTTGCTGGGTACCAGCTTATCATTGGTGTATAATATCATGCTCAGTAGCAACGGTTGATAAACCAACTGCCACTTGTTTCAAATAATGGTGTGGCCAACAATTAGATGCAGCCGACCCCCCGAAAAACTCGTTGACGTTGCAGGACTATGTGTCAGCAGTGTCGATGACATCGACCGTCTTTACATATGTAAATTGAGATTGCTTGAGCGTTGATTGAGAACATTATTATCTACCTACGAGGAGACTTTTACGACCGGGTGCTTCCGTAATACATATCTCACCTCTACTATTGGCAGATAGACCATCCAGTTTATTGATGGGGAATATCTTCAAACCGAAAGGGCCCACCCTTTTGCTTCCATAATCCTATGGAATCAAGCTAATGGTGCCAGTGTAGTGAAGTTTTGTGAACTTGTTTGTTTCAGTTCTCAGCAGCAAGCCCAGAACATGATAGCATTGTAATTTATCATTTCTTTATTGAGATCTTGCATAGGTGATAGCAGTATGGTGTGAACTCGCTACTCAATTGTTACGTGGTAGTTTTAGTTGTCATGCCGGTTTGCAACGTCTATTCAGAACCAAAATGTAATTTAACCAGTCAGTGAAACAAGGGTAGTCTCACAGTAACATACATGCAATTCTGATCTCATAATTCAGGCTACAGTCTATCAAGAAACTTTGGTCTTTGTTCGGTTGGTCTATGCTACGACCTGGAACGATGGGCAAAAACAGCTGTGTCAGATCTCACTTAGATGCCTGGTAATCGATAGGTTTAATTTCAACTCGTTCCAAGCTAGATCAAAATTGGACGGAAGTATACGACGTCATTCGTGTCCATTGCTTGATCATTTGCCGACTATGGTTGTACGTATGATTCAAACACATTCATCACGAACGGATGCACATGTACAGGCCAAGCTTACCACGGTTCCGGACCCACGCACCAGAATGCAACGCTCAGAGGTCATAACTACCAAAACGATGATAATTGTCCGAAGATTAATAACTGTCGTATTCCCTTTTATCTTGCGTTACGTCCTCTGATGCAAATGTAGTATGTTGAGGGCGGATGGTGCTGTCGACGTGGGTCAAGTTACTGGCTAAGCAAAATCCTGCCCAGAGAAGCTCGCTGAAGCAGCCAGGTATGACATCCTTACGGGTGTTAGGGTTAACGCAAAGGTCCACTAATATATCTAACTCAATCACGCAGATCGTTTGTCTTGGAAAGTGAGTGAACCAGTGTGAAAATTAGGGCAGGTCTCCTTTTTAATTCCTCATAGGAAGAATGCTATCGGATAATGCCATACCACAAACGCTATCCCAATGGTAGGAGTGCCTATTACGGAGGGTTTGTTTATAGCACGTAAGGTGGACAAGGTACGGTGATGAAAACGGCTGTGCAACTGCATCACATTTGCAGACTACCATCAAGCAGATAAAAAGTATCCCATTTGGATTAACTCACTGGTGTTGCTTACTTTTCACCCGACGGCCACTTGAAACGACTACTCTAAACCGTGGCAGTAGTAAGAAAACTCCGTCAATTTAACCTCTGTCCACAATTTTAACATTCGCATCGATATGGAATGACAATCAGCTATGCTTTTGAGTCCGAGATCTACAGAAGTGCACTTGATCTTGCGAAAGGAATCCAAATGTGCCTAATAGTGAATAGGAGTTTCTGAAGGGAAATTTGACCGATCAAGGTAGCTGTATGCGTGGGATGTTTGCTGAAAGTTTGTTGATGGATGCACCCAAGATGATTGTTTTCTTTGTTTCGACGAAGCCAGGGCCTTGCTGCTCACCTTCACATGCACCAGTCTGACAGGAAAACCTTTGCAGATTAACGGATATTTTGCAGCAGAACTGATCAAGTTCAACCTTTTACAGTGTTCGTCATCTTGGAGCTCCAAAGTCAAATGTCCATGCGTGAGTACGGTCGTCAGACAGAAGAATAGCCCCGTGGTTTCCTGATAGTTCAACTTAACTGGCCTGATTAGAGCACAATTCAGCTAAAAAGACGGAATCGATATTTCGTCACATTCGTAAAACATGTGCGCATCATCAGAAAGTGGAAGCCCTGGAAACGGTTAAACAATCACTCTCTTCAGTCGGGTCTAGCAAAAGGAAACAAAGTCAGGTGGGGGTGGTGGGAGCTGAAAAACTCAGCAAACTCCGTTACTAACAAGTATGTTGGATTCCTATGCATTCTGGATAAAAAACA